GGCATGGACCCAAAGGGGATTTGAGCTGAAGGATTCCGGGGCAACAAGGAAACCCCAAATGAAAGAATGAGACGGGTCCATCTTCCGAGCACCTGTAGAGCCTTTTCTCTGCCTGTTAGCTCTCTTCTCCCGCCCGTTGATCTGCTTCCTCCTGTGATGGGAAGAGTCGCTATTCTCCAAGGACGGAGGGCACCAGGCAAACTAATGTTCATGACAGGCATTGTTAAACAGCACTTATTAAAAAAAACCACAAGCTAGTCACCATCGAGAGACTTTACCAGGCTCTCCAAGCACCACTGGGCATATCCACCATGTAATAGAAGCTATCAGTTAAGCAAATACGTAAATTGGGTAATTTGGTATATTACTGTGGTTGATTTTCTTACGTTACATCAACTTTGCATTCCGGGGATAAATCCCAGTTGGTCATGGTGTCTGGTCTTTTCACCTGTTGCTGGATTTGTTTTGCTTGCATTTTGTTGAGGGTTTTTGCATCTCTATTCATAAGGGATATTGATTTGTAATTTTCTTGTGTTGTGTTTGTCTTGTTTTGGCAACAAGGTAATACTGGGTATTGCTGGGTACCAGAGTAATACTGGCCTCACAGAATGAGTCTGGTAGTCATCCCTCCTCTTCTATTTTTGGGGAAGAGTTTGTGAAAGATTAGTGTTAATTCTTTTAAATGTTTGGTAGCGTTCATCCGTGAAGCCATCTGGTCCCAGGGTTTTCTCTGCGGGAGGTTTTTATTATTTTTATTACTAATTCGATCTCTTTTCTTGCTATACGTCTAGTTGGATATTGCGGTTCTCCGGTAATTTTTGAAAATAGGTAGGTTAAAGGTCAGTTTGTGACATAAAGTGGAGAGTTCTCTCCGGTTGAAATGACGGCTGTGACCGTGTTGAGTTTCCGGTGGAGTTTCCAGCGGTAACGCGTGGAATGCGGCCCCTCCCTGCTCTTCCGGGCCTGCTCCTTCCTTGCTCCTGGGTTTCAGCAGAGACCCATCCCTTCCGCTGGGCTGAGGTCTGGCCTGCCGAGAGCCAGGGGACGTCGAGGGAAAACCCACAGGTTGCGCCATCAGAATGACTGGACCAGGTTCAAAGACCGTTCGGGCTTCTACTCACCACATGACCCGGTCAAGTCCTTCAGCCTCTCAGCCTGTGTTCTCACCTGTGAGGGAGGAAGGGAGGGAGGGTGATAATGGCTCCGCCTCATGGGGCTGGGGGACAGGTTTGGATGTGCACGGCGGCCTTGCTAAGCCTCCTCTCTGCCCCTCTCTGCCCACTCCCCTCCTGCCCTCCCATCTTCAGTGAAGGAGAAGGAGGAGAAGGCACTTCAGTGTCTGATGAGGTAAGCGAGGAGGCTGCACGTCCCGCAGACAAAGCCTCAGTGTTCAAGGGCAGCGCTGTGTGCCTCCTCCTTGCTGGGGGCGGGCGGAGGAGGCCGAAGGTGGGGCCCGGGCATTTTCCCAGCCCTGCTCAACCCCACCGTCTCCCACCCTCCGACCTGCTCCCTGGAATGGAGGAAACGACCCAGTCGAGAAGGGAGGGCCTCTCAGGTGAGGTGGGCCCACCTGGGCCTGTGCTTTTGAGAATGTTTGCGTTACAAAGCTTCTTGCAAAAGCTTCCGATGAACTCTGCGCACATCCCGAACTCTGGTCTCCCCATGCACCCCGGTGCCCCCCACCAACGTGATGCCAACGTAAGGCTGGAAAAGAAGGGCTGTTTATTCAGCGACTCCCTTCACCGCCTGAGGGCTGTCCTTGGAGGATTACACCCCTGGCCCTTCTGAGATGCTCCTGTAAGGAGCTGAACAGGTCCCAGGAGCTTGAGAGACAGAGCAGGAGGCAGAGCTGCCCGAGAAAGGAGGCAGCACTTTCTAGAATGGCCCCCTGGGCCACAGGGGGACTCGGTGGCCAGGGAGTATTGGGCAAGGCAGCACCCGTGCACGGGGGTGGGAGGGTGAGAGGGAGGGGGGGCGGGGGGAAGATGCTTGCTCCTAGACGGCCTGAGGTTGAGGTGATGTGGAAACATCCGGCAGGCAGGCAGGCAGCGGGCAGGCAGCGGGCAGGCCTGGCGTCCAGCCAGCCTCACAGTGGGCAGGATTGGGTGTGAGAGCGGACAGGGGTCAAAGGAGGGAGACAGTGGACAGCTCAGCACCGAGCCTGGGATGTGTCCCATGTCTCGGGGGCAGGGAAGGGGACAGAGTCAGCCCTGAGGGCAGAGACCCGGCTGCGCAAGAGAAAGGACCTGCGGGGAGATGAAACTGGGAAGCCTGCCGCAGCTCCCCAGGCGAGGAGGCCCGTGGACTTGGTAAAGCTGGGGGATGGGAGGAGGAAGAGGTAGCAGGGCTGTTCGGCCACGAGCACATTGCTCCATCATGGTCACATTGCTCCATTTGTTAGCTCATCGGGGAGACAGCAGTGATCTTACTTCCCATCTCTCAGGATTCCTGTGAGCATCTGCTGCTTCAGTGCTTGGCACAGAGCCCAAGAAGTAGTAGGTGCTCAATGAAATCTCGTTCTCATCTACCACTGAGAAGTGAGCTTGCTGGGAGAGGAAGCCCATAGTCTTGTGATGTGAAGGAGAGAGAGACCCGGGCTCTGCTGAGCCCTCACCTGTGACCGCTCGCTTACACTTGGGATGTGCCAGAAATCTAAAGGCCTGCCTGACCCTTTCTAAACTTTCTGGTGGCGGAGCCCTCACTTTCATTACATGATAGCATTTAAAATAATATTTTCATTGATTTCAGAGAGGAAGGGAAAGGGAGAGCGAGCTAGAAACATCAATGATGAGAGAGAATCATTGATCCGTTGCCTCCTGCATGCCCCGTACTGGGGATCAAGCCCACAACCCAGGCATGTGTCCTGACCAGGAATCGAACCATGACCTCCCAAGCATAGGAAACCCAGCAACCTGGGTTTTATCACTAGTGAGAAGGTGTCCCCTTCTCACTTCTGGAACTGCCCTTCCTCGGGCAGACCTGTCTCTGAGACTCTTAGGCATCAGCAAGTTCGCCTGCATGTTCCACCAGTCAGTACACACGTCCTGTGGCCTGAGAGGTCCCCCCCCCCCGAAGCACCGCGTCAGTCTTGGACTAGTCTGCGTTTCCTCCGTGTCAGGCTGTGTCTGCACGCCATCCAGTGGTCCCCTCTCATTCCCTAGTTCTCTTCCCCTGGTTTCAGTTACCTGCGGTCAACCATGGTCTGAAAATATTAAGTGGAAAATTCCAGAAATAAACAACTCATCAGTTTTCCGTTGCTGACCATTCTGAGTCCTGTGATAAAATCTCGCTCCCTGCCTCCCGGGATGTGAATCATCCCTTTTGTCCAGCGTCTCCGCGCTGTAACCGCTCCCTGCCCGCTAGTCGCTTGGTAGCCGGCTAGGTGTTCAGATGGACTGTCGCGGTATCACAGTACCTATGTTTAAGTCACCCCTGTGTCTACTCAATCATGGCTCAAAGCCATTCCCATTACTTCTATTGTAGAATGTTGTAATTGTTCTATTTTTTAAATATAGATTTTATTGATTTCAGAGAGGAAGGGAGAGGGAGAGAGAGAGAAACATCACTGATGAGAGAGAATCATTGATTGGCTGCCTCCTGCACACCGCACACTGGGGATCGAGCCTGCAACCCGGGCATGTGCCCTGACTGGGAATCGAACCGTGACCTTCTGATTAATAGGTTGATGCTCAACCACTGAGCCACGCCTGCCAGGCCCCCTTCCTTCTTCTATACCCTCAGTGTTTCCTTCACACAGACGGCTCTCTGCCTTCCTTTGTTGGTGGTGGTTTGGGTTCGTGTGTCTTTTAGGTTGTTATTCCCTACCCACTGCAGACTCAGCGCAGACCCACCCTCAGGACGCCCTGACGGATGTCCCAGGCAGAGTTAGGTGTCCCAGGTCCCTACAGTCTCACACCCACACAGTGACCAGGTGACCCTCCCCCCCCCCCCTCACTGGACTGGGAACTCCTTGAGGGAGGACTTCAGTCTTTTTGCTCCCAGTGTGTGCGGGTGCTCAGGGGCTGAATGAATGAGGAGGCGGCTGCAGAAACAGAAGCCTGCAATAGGGCAGTGGCAGCTCCAGAATGTTCCTGATTTTTTTTTTTTGAGAGAGACAGGAAAGGAGAGGGAGAGAGATAGAAACATCCATGATAGAGAAACACCCATTGGCTGCCTCCTGCACGCCCCATACCGGGGGATGGAGCCGGCAGCCCGGGCATATGCCCTGACCGGGAATCGTACCAGCGACCTCCTGGTCCATGGAACAGTGCTCAATCCAAATTGCCACACAGGCCCGGCTTGCTTTTTATTTTTATTTTTTTTATTCAAAATATTTTTATTTGTTTTTGAGGGAGAGGAACAGAGAGGGAGGGAGTTAGCAACATCGATGATAGAGAAACATCGATCCAGAATTTTAATCCAGGAGGGTGTCTCGGTGGTGATTGGTTTGTGGAGCCTTGAAGCCAAGGGTGTTCAGCAAACCAGCGTAGGGAACACGTGTAAGGGAACCACAGTTGTTCATATTAGAGATGGGAGAGCAGGCCACCCTGTGCAGGCCAACAGTATCCTGTCCCTCCGAAAGTCTACGGAAGCAGACACGACTATCCTCTGTCTGTGTCCGAGGAAGAACGCGAGGCATCCCTGGTAGCTCCTCCATGAAGGTCACACAGCAGGTAGTGGCAAGCTGGCTTCTCTGGTTTGTCATCCTGGGAGGCGTTTAGGGGCTTGGTGCTGCCCACCTTACGCACAAAGACCAGCCTAGACCCAACGGAGTTGGCGATCGCGCGGAGAAAGAGTTGCAAGGAAGGGTGGCAAGAGAGGACAGCTGTCACCAGTGGACCCGAACCATTCCTACAGCGGCTCTGTGTTCTGCCTAGGAAAACAGAACTACATCTCCCAGAAAGCAGTTCGGCCTCTCGCCGCCCCACCCCACGCTCCCCCTCGCCCCGCCCCTCCTCAGGTTGCTATATAAGGGCCGAATGGCCAGGCCCGGCACAGAGCGCGGAGGCGGCGCTGCGCACCGTGCGCCCTCGGAGCCGGCTGGATGCGGCCGCCGCAGTTGGCACCCGCCGCTCCGCACTCCTCCACCGCGGGGCCTCCTTTGCCCCGCGGGCGTCCACCCTAAGCTCCCTGGGCCCCGCAGACCTGCAAACCCGAGGCGGAGAGCGCATTTGCCTTTGGCTCTTTCCCGGACTTGGCAGAGGGGTTCCGGCGGGAATCTGGGCTGGCGCTGGCGATGCGCAGCCAAGGAGGGCGAGGCGCCGCGTCCATGCGGGGTGCTCCCCTAGAGCGAGGAGGCGGGATGCCCTCGCCGGGGCCCGCGGGACCCTCTGCACCCGCCTGCACCGTGCGCCCACCCCCGGGCCCGGGAACGCGGCCCTTGGGAATCCCAGCCAGTGACCTCCGCGCGACCTCCGCGGGTCCGAGCGCAGAGGCCGGCCGGCAGCTCTTTGACCTTGGATGGCAAGTGGGCAGTGGGGTGGGTGCTCCGGGCGCCTAATGTGGATTACTTGGTGTGTACCAGCCGGGCTCGGAAGACTCGCGACCCCGTCTCCGGCCGTGGACTGATTCATTCTACCTAGCGGTCGGGTCGCTTCCCTGGAGGTAAGTTTTCTGGCACTTCCTGGGGGGAGGTTTGATTGGACTCCCCACCCGCACCACCGCGCGTCGCTCTCTGAAGGTCTGCAGTTCTGGGTTGAAATTTTTCCTCTGGTAATGGACATCTCGGAGGACATTTGAGCCATCCCGCTGTCTCCAGACAGAGCTGATGGCTCGGGTCACGGTGGTCAGCGCCCATCCCTGGCCGCTGGCTGCCCCCAGGGACCGCGCTCAGCCTGGGGAAAGGCTCCGAGTCCTGGGCGCACTGCGAGGCTCTTGCATTTACCTTTTTGCCTTGTTGCCGTGGGGTTGGGTGGGAGGGGGTGCCGTTATTTAGGGAGCGGAGCTACCTGGGGAAGCTCCTGGCATCTGTCCACCATCCACTCAGAATGCACAGCGCGTGGGGAAGGCGGCGGGGCCAGCCCCTCTCACCCTTGGGCACGGAGGACAGATGTGTTTCTGGATGTCCCTGTGGGCTGGCTTGACTGCAAGGACTGGGTCCCCCGTCAGGCCGATGCGGGAATGATGGGGGCAGGTCTTTGAATGGGTGGAAGGCGGCTGGAATTCGGTCCCCTGCGTCCCCCCCCCTTCCCCCCCACCGTTCCCTGCACCCTTCGCCCAACTTGTTCATGGAAGAGCTTTCCTGGCCAACGTGGGGAGGAGCTTGTCTTGAGTCCTGAACTGAAAGCAAACCGCTGGATATCCCCCCCCCACCCCCCCGTCCCTGCTTTCCCCCTCCTTTTGTGTCCCCCTGTTTGGGGCAGCACAGTGCCTGTCCCTGGGCAGGCGAGGAAGAGGTGTTCACTGAATGGATGACCGAGCCAGTCCCCCGTGATGTGCACATAAACCAGGGTCCTCCTTGTCCTTCTCCCTCTTTGGCGCTTGTCCTCAGCCCATGTGGGATCCCCTCCCCTTCTCCCAGCCCTCCTGGCAGCCTGTCTGTGATGATCCATTTCCTGCCCCTGAGTCCCTCCTGCCGAGGAAACTTCTGGAAGCTGCCAGGGGTCTCCTCGCTAGGTGCCCGGGGTGCTGTTGCCTCCAGTGAGCACCTGCTGGGAGGAGAAGGAGGGCCAGGCCCCCCAGAAGAGGAAAGGGGAGGTGCGTGTACCGCCCCTCCCCCCAGAGCCGTGCCCCTGGCCACCCCAGGTCCCTGGCGCTGCCCAGTTGCTGCAGCAATGGTCCGGGTGGCCGCCCCCACCCGGCGGCCTGACGACAGTTCCTGGGATGAACCGTGGAAGCTGTCCCACTGATGGATGACCCCCTGCGCCACCCGCACACCCCGTCTGATCTTAACCTCTGTTATAGAAAACGACAAAAAAGTGCAAAAAGCAGAAAAACTCACCCAATTCTCACAGCAGTGCCGGCAGTCGGACACATTTCCTCCCCGCTGAACCCCTGCAGTATACACAACATCTTTCCCCGCTTCCCCTGCCCCCCTCGTTTTCACTGGGACGGTTCCCCACGCAGTGACTGTCTCCCGCCCCAGGTACTGAAGGTACTGAGTCGTAATTTGCTTGACAATTCCCATGTTTGGACACTCAGGTGCTTCCAGGTTTTTACCCTTAGAAGCAATGCATTGGGGAGCACTTTTGTACGGAAGGATTTGTCCACTTTGGGAAATTCCCAGAAACCTCTGTCTTTGCTGTAAGTCCGAGGCAGGTCACCCTGGGCAGACGGTCGAGGCGGGCTTTCTCGGGGAGAGCACCCCCTGTCCATCAGGGAACCCACGTCCTGGAGCCAGAACACGGGCTTTTTTTGTCTTGTTTTTCCCACAGCAACGCGTTGATCAGCATCGGCCTGAGGTGGGTAGAAATGTGCCAGTTAGGTTAGTGAGGCCACAGATTAAAATGCACTAGGCAGCTGCATTCCAAAGACGGTCGTTTAGAAAAGATGTTGATTTAGATAGAAATCTAGATTTGCAGGAATGTTGCACTCACAGTGCCTGGGTTTCCCCTGCACCCCGTACCCCGCTTCCGCTTCCCTAACTTCGAACATATGCACAGCCCCGTCCAGGTGAACTCGATTACTGATCAATCCCCGGGCCTTGCTCAGGGGCTCCCCATTGTCCGCTACCGTTGGTTTGTGAGTCAGGATCCTGCACCGCAGGAAAGGCTGTCTTGTAAAAAAAAGGGGGAGTTGAGAGGGGCTCAGCAGACCCCCTTTTTAAAAAGAAACCTCTTCATGGAGGTCCGACCGACACCAAAAGCTGTCCGTATTCGAGGTAGGAACTGGATGAGTTGGTGAGACGCGGACAGCACCGCGAAGCCCCGCCGAATGCGCCATGAGCGCGTTCATCACCCCACAGGTTTCCCCGCCCGCCCGCTGTGTTAGTATTTTCATGTGTGTGCGATAAGAACGCTGCATGAGAGATCTACCCTCTTAGCAAACGGGTGCGTGTACAATGCAGTATTGTTAACTCCAGGCCCCACGCCGTGGGGGAGGCTAGGATTTACCCCAGAGAAGGGTCACAGTTGAGAAACCCCCTCACCTTCTTCTCCAGGTAAACTCCCCCCTCCTCCCTCTGCAGGGCCAGCAGGGCAGACGAGACCCCCCACCGCCCAGCGGGGAGGGGAGCAGAGCATCCCCGGGTACCCGCCTCCCTCCTCCCCACGCCGCCCCTGGGAAGGAGTGGTAGTGAAAATCGGGTCAGAGCCCGATCTGTCCCGACATGTCTCCCGTGGGGCAGACGGATGGATGACACCTGGTGTGCGTGAGAGCAGCGAGCCGCCGAGCCCTGCGTGCCAGGCCTGTGCGGTGACTCACGCCGAGTGGCAGGTGTGTCCGGTGCTCGGCGTGCAAACCCAGCCAAGAGCATTTCCTGGTTACCTGGGCAGATTTAAAGCAACACGGGGTTCTGCTCTCACCTCGGAATGGAGGCAGGGGATTGTCAAGCCATCAGGGGCCAGGAGGTGGTCCCCTTTCTTTTGGGGGGGACTTACTTCACCAAAGAGGGGTGAGGAGCGCCAGCCTGGCCTGGCCGAGTGTCTTTGCAGGAGAGGCTTGTGAGAACTGGGGGGAGCCAGGAAAGAGGCTCTTGTCCTCCCCCCCACCAGGACCCCACGAGTCCCAACCTTCCCCCACATACACCTGTGAGCGCCGGCATCCCCGGCTGCGCCAGCTCGGAGTGGCCGCCACCGACTGCAGGCGATGTTTGCTGGGGAGGAGGAAGTTTTGAGGTTACTTAACTCTCAACAAAACAGACTTCTGTTGTCCAGATAGAGTTTCTCTGTTACCGCGAGGGTCTGGTCACCGAGGCTGGGTTTTACCTTTCCTCTGTAAAACGCTCCCACTCTTCCTATTCTGGCTTGTAACCTGAAAGGTAGCCCCCGCGTCCCCTCTGCCCTCCCAGCTCCCCAGCTCCCAGGCGGTTTCTGTAGCCAGCCCGCTCCAGCGAGGATCACGACAGGAAGTCTCGGTGGGAGAGGGGTTGGGGATGTTGTGACGGAGCGGCTCTGGAACAGCCTTCTGTCTCCACCTGCCTTGTCCCTCCGGGGGCCCTGCCTTCTGGGAGTCGCCATTCTTCCCAGATCAACGTGGGTGCAGTTCAGACTGTATGCCCAGCACTGCTCCCCAGGCCCCCTGGCCTGCAGACTGTTGTTTGTGTAAGAATAGATTGCTTGGAGAACTTGGTAAAAATGAGTATTCTCAGCAGCCATCCCTTCCCTCACCCCAATTTTAGGGGTTCTTTTTTGGTTTATGTGGGGGCAGGGAATGCTCAGAGACCTGCATGTTAAACAAGCTGCCCAGGGCACTTGAAGACACAGGGGGTTGACGGGCTTCTTGGCCAGCTAAAGCCCAAATGGAACCTTTTCCTGCTGAAGCTTGCCTTTTCTCCTCCTTCAGGAAGCCTTCCTGGCTTGCCTCCACCTGGTCTCGGGCCCCCCACACATACGTATGTGGTTTGCTGGTGGCTGGTGAAGGTTTTGACATAGAAGTCTTGAAAGCAGGTGCCCTTTGTACTCAGTTAAGACAGAAATGGCTGCATTGGGGCAAAAGATAAAGGACCTGCATTTCTGGGCTTGAGGAATAAATTATATCTGCAGCCTCTCACCTGGGCGGTGTGGTCGTGAGTTCCCCGGGAGCCTGGAAAATGCCCTCTCATAGATACCTTCCTGGTGCCTATGCCCTTGTGCCCATGGAGACCACGGCTATTTCTGGCCGACGTCACCCGAGGCCAGCGGTTCTCAACCTGTGGGTCGCGACCCCTTTGGCGGTCGAACGACCCTTTCACAGGGGTCGCCTAAGACCATCCTGCATATCAGATATTTACATGACGATTCATAACAGTAGCAACATGACAGTTATGAAGTAGCAACGAAAATAATTTTATGGTTGGGTCACAACATGAGGAACTGTATTTAAAGGGCCAGAAGGTTGAGAACCACTGCCCTAGGCGATGCCCACTGGCACCACGGGGCTGGTTGGGTCCTCCCCACCAAGTTAGCACCCTCTCCTTCCCAGGATAGATGCACCCAGCTCCCTGCACACGAGGAAGAGAACTTTCCTGCATGGATCCCTCCGTTTGAACCGTGCCATTGGCTCAGACGCCCCGTGCAAAATCGCTTGGGTGCCCGTGCTTCACAGACTCGGTTTGTGCCCAGAAAAATGTCCGTGTCAAACCGATCTTGGTCGATCAGAGGATTCGCGAAAGGCCCGGAGGGAGCGTGCCACCCAGGGAAATGCTGAAGCGGCAGGTTTCTGTCAAAGGCCTCCCTTGGGGCTGTGAATCATCTCCTCCTCCCGTGTTGGGTCTGCCGGTGCAGGTTCTTCCGTAGAAACCAGGTGCCTTTGTAGTTGGGTAAGGCCGACGTGGCCACATCCGGGCGCAGGACGAAGGAGCAGCAGTTCTGCAGGAATAAGTCAGACCGCAGTCTCTCCCCTGGACTCGGGGAGCCCCCCCCCCACCCCTGGTGGTTTGGAAATGCCCCTTCGGGGTCTGATTTTAATGGTTTTCAGACCCGCTTCCTTTGCCTGAAACGTGGGCCTTGGCCTCATGCTGCTGTAGCGATGTCCTCCCCTTCCCGTTCTTTTCCTTGGACGGAGAAGCCTGCGTGGAGCCGGGCGGGGAGGAGCTTCCCCGCCTGCCCAGCGACCCCTCAGATAATCCACTAGGGGTTTTGGCTGGACCATGCTTTCGAGCCATCGTTGGCATATTCCCTCTCTCTCATTAGGGACGCCTTTCCAATCATTCGCCAATTCTGCAATTATCGAGCGCCTGCTGGATGCTTCTTCAGATGTCGGTGACGTCGCTTCTGTTCTTTGGCATGTGGGCGCTCGTGGTCCCGGGGCCCGTGGGAAGCTGGCTGGACACAGCGGTCTCTGTGGGGAGGGTCCTGCTGTGCTTCAGGCCTGAGAGGACGTGTCTGAGATGCTGGCCTCTGGGACACATTCCTCAGGACGTGAGTGAAGCCCTCCGGATCATTTCTGCCTTGGTGACTCCTTCACTTTATTATTGTTATTCTTAATTTTAACCCTTTTTTTGTGGCAAAATGTACCTAACGTGGAGTTTACCACCTTAGCCATTTTGAAGTGCAGCCCGTGGCATGATGTCCATTCACATTGTTGTGTGACCGCCACCACCTCTTCCTCGAGAACTTTTCATCGTCGCACACGGAACTCTGTCCCCATTGCTCCTCCCCGGCCCCTGGCCGCCTCCGTTCTGTTTCCCGTCTCCAGGACTTTACTGCAGGTATTTCGTCAAAGTGGAGGCAGATGACATTTGTCCTCTGTATCTGTATCTGACTGATGTCACTTGGCATCAGGGCCTCAAGGCTCACCCACGTTGGAACAGGTGTCAGAATGCCCCCCCTCCCATGTTAAGCCTGAATAATATTCCACTGCATGGATAGGCACATTTGTGTATCCGTTGATCCAGGGATGGACACCTTTTGCCTCTTGTGAACGATGCTGCTGTGAACTTGGCTGTAGAGATGCCCGTCCGAGTCCCTGCTTTTGGTTCTTCTGTGTGTGATCCAGACGTGGGATTGCTGGGTCAGATGGTCATTCTGTGTGTAACTTTCCGAGGAACCGCCATGCTGTTTCCATAGCAGCTGCACCGTTTTCCGTTCTCACCCACAGTGCACAGGGTCCCCGTTTCTCCATATCCTCGCTGACATTTTATCTTATTTTATTTTATTATTTTATTTTTTATTATTATTTTTTTAATACATAATAGCCGTCCCGGTGGGTGTGAAGTGGCCCCTGACTAACTGTAAAGGCAGTTTGACCGGGACGGTTAGATTTTTTCCGGGGACATTCCAGGAGCCCGTGGGAAGGATCTCCCCTCAGCGCCGAGAGCCCAGGGACACGGGCAGCAGAGGGCAGGGGGCACCCGCTCCCAGTCTGCCGCCTCTGTACTCTCTGAGCGACAAGGTCTGGTGTTCCGGTGTGTCCTGTAGGTCCTCACTGTTTGCTGGCGCTGTCCACGTGCTTTTGTGCCCCCGTCCCACCTCTCACCCTCAACCGGGGGACATGGTCAGCTGTCACCCCCGTGCTCCGAAGGGGCGTTCCGGCCGGGGTGAGTGAAGTGGCGCAGGAAGATACTGACCCCTCACCCCGACGTGGTGCGCTCTGGGAAGAGACAGACTGTTTGGGGAGCGTGGGTGAAGCGAGGGCTGGGAGGATGGAGATCGGAGCCGAGATCTGGGAGAACTCGGGGGACGTCCTCTCGGCCCACTTGTCCTGCGTGGTCACATTTCATCCACGACATTTGCTGAGTGTGGGTTGTTTATTAAAAAAAAAAAGGAAAAATTATCTTTCTATAGAACTCGTTTCTGCACTGTCGAGTGGCTTCAGAAATGCCCTGGGGCTCAGTGGTGACAGCCATGGCCGTGGCCGCGATGAGAGGGTCACCTCCGTTCTCGCACTTTCTTCCCTGAGTTGTGTGTGAGCCCTGAGAGCTCAGCCTGCTCTCCTTTGTCATCAGACGTCCCAAGTGTGTCTGGCCTCAAGGTGGGGGGTAGGCGTCGGCAGGAAGTGGTTTTATCAGCCTGGGGGTCGGGGGGATCCAAGCTTTGCACCTCTTTGCCTCTCAGGGCCTCTGCGCCCTTCCCCACGGGGCCGGAGGAGAGTGACCGCGTGCCCCTGGAGCCACCATGAATGAGCCTCTTTTATTTTTATTTTGTCGTGATATTTCTTTTGTGGCTGGGGTGCCAGGACGGACGCCCCGAGCCCAGTGGCTTTCTCTCGGGGACGGGAGGGGAAGAGAGAGGGTGCCCCCTGCGACCTTGCCCGTGACTTCATACCAGACTTGTCTCCTGGCCCCAGGGTCACGCTGACGCTGACGGCAGTTTCTCGGAATCGCGGGAATCCGTGGCCCACTGGCAGGCCGGCTGGGAAAATTGGGATGTTTGGGTTTTTAATTAAGTCTCTTAAGTGGAAAGCAGGACTGCGGTTAACCAGGATGGTCCCGTTCTCGCTCCACCCTGACCGCTGGGCGCTCCCGCCGTTCCTGGAATTGCCCTCCTCACCCCTTCCCGCTGCCTGCTTTTTTTTTTTTTTTTTTAATCCTCACTCCAGGATATTTTTTCCATTGATTTCTAGAGAGAGTGGAAGGGAGGAAGGAGGGGGAGATAGAAACATCCATGTGAGAGAGACACATCGACTGTTTGCCTCCCGCACGTGCCCCGACTGAGGCTGGGGAACCTGCAACCGCCGTACGTGCCCTTGACCGGGAATCAAAGCTGGACCCTTCCGTCCACAGACCGGCGCTCTAACCACTGAGCCACCGGCCAGGGCTCCGCTGCCCTCTTATAACCTGCCCCTTACACTATACACCGGCCCTATTCCTTCCACATCCCGTGTCGGGGTTCAAGAAATAAGACGTGCCGAGCAGCGCCGGCTGCCTGAGCAACGGCATTATATTAGGAAGGAGCGGGGAGCCAGCCTCTCGCTGGCCTGGGCAGGCGGTTCCAGAATTTTCCTCCAGCCCTGCAGGGCCTGCATGCGGGCACGGTCATTTCTGACGTCGGAGGCTGAGAGACTGTATACTCTTGGAGCCCCAAAGCTCTGAAGGACGGAGCCCTGGCCCATGTAAGCTCAGGTCTTGGCCCGCCCCTCGCTGGTGTCTGTGTGTCTTTGTGCAAGTTGCTCAGCCTCTCGGGGCTCAATTCCTCATCCGTGAAAGGCGGATATTTGTAGGTTGGTGGCGTTTGGTGGCAAGTGACAGAAAAGCCAATTCTAATGTTTAACGATTGAAGTTTTGGTTGTTCCTGTAACTGAAGTCGAGGGGTTGTGCTTTTGGGGGACCTGCTGGCTCTCTGGTTTCCTCCAGTTCTTTTCACCGTCGGTTTGCTTTCCTGGTCGGAGCGGAGGGAGCAGGAGCCTTCTCGGGCCTCCTGCCTCTGCAGACCCAGGCGGGAGGCCGGCTTTGTGTTGGCGTTCCTGAGGGCGGACCCCGGAGCCTGCCCCGTGCCCAGCAGGTGGACACGTGGACGGCTCTCCTGCGGCCACGAGCCTCACACCCGGGTCTGTGGGGCCAGCTTCCCTCCCCAGAGGCCCTTAGGAAGCTGGGATGGATGGAGGGAGGTGGCACCACACGTTGACTCTGAGTGGATTGGGCTGCGTGCGGGATGAACACCACAGTGCGTGGTGGGGCAGGGAGGGCATTCTGTCCACCTTTGTGTACCTGGTACCTAGGAGAGTCGGTGCAGGGGCGCGTCAGTGCCCAGCGAACGTTGGTCAATGAATGAACCGTGACGGTGCTTTCCTGCTCTGCCCCTCTGAGCCCGAGAGGCCATGCTCCAGGGAGTTGGCAGTTTGGCTCTTGCATCTCTCAGTCCAGCCTTGCAGTCGCCGGCCCATGACCGGCTTCTCGTTGACCTGCGCCAAACAGTTGTTACTGGAATAGCAATTTACGTTTGTTTTTTAAAAATTATGTTTCCACTGATTTCAGCAAGAGGAAGGGAGAAGGGGGTGGCGGGGGGGGGGAGAGAAACATCAATGATGAGAGAGAATCATTGATCAGCTGCCTCCCTTTCAGGATGGAGCCCGAAATCCGGGCATGTGCCCCGACTGGGAATCCAACCGTGACCTCCTGGTTCATGGATTGATGCTCAACCACTGAGCCCCACTGGCCGGGCGGGAATAGCGATTTGATGCTTAGGATGGCGCCTCTCACCTGAGATTTCACAGCGAAGAAACGCCTTCCCTAATCCCGAGCTTCTCTGCACCAGTGGTGTTGCCCCTGGTCCACCTGTGGAGGCAAATTGTGGTCCGTTCCTGGCGTGACAAGTCCGGTCGGTGATGGGAGCGGCCGGTGGGTTTGTGCAGACTCCTCGCCTGGCTCCCGTGTTTGGCAGCCCAGGGAGAAGACGGAGCACAAGTGGGCTTATTCAGATGGTTCCACCGTGTTCCCACATTCACGTGCCAACCAGCGCCCCAGCTTTTGGGGGCTCCCTGTCAGACAGGCGGCCTTGACCTCCAGGCCGTGGTGCGCAAGGTGGGGACCCTAGTTTGCCTGCTTCGCCGGCACGTTGCACAGGTGGGCTTTGAGGAGCGGTGAGCCATGCTGGTGGGTTGTGCGAACTCTTGGAGGAAGCCAGCTGCCCTGGCAGGTGTCACCCGTGTCCTCGATTGGCACGTGAGGAAAGGCTCATTGTCACGGCGATAGATTATTTCTCTTCGGAAGCAGGAGTCTGAATGGGGGGCGGGGTGACGTGGGAGGAGAGGGGCGATCGTCACGTAGCAGAGATGTCCTGGGAAGCGCTGGCTGTGTGGCTGGTATTGCCCCATTTAACAGGCGAGGACGCCGAGGCTCCCAGGGCCTAGTTACTTGTGCTGGTCAGCGGCGGAGCCAGAACTTGACCTGCCTCCCGGTTGGTGCCTAACCCCGTCCATCTGGGGTCTAGCGCCTTGGAAAGTGCTAGAAACCACAAGTCAGAGGAGCCAATGGTATCTCTGTAGCTCTGTCACCCTTCACTTCCTCCCCCCAGTGGCAAGTTTAGGACAGTCTCCCCCTCCCTGCCCTGACGGAGGTGGCCCCCTCCCTTCAGGAGTGGAGGTAGGGAGACACAGCGAAGTCCCGGTCACAGTCACCACCACCAGCGCTCCTGGGTGGCTCATGGACAGGCGTTGTCCCCAGCAGGGCTCTCCTCCCTGCTCCCAGGTTCCAGGCCGCCTCTCCTGCCTCCACACCACCCTCGCCTTCCTCTCTGCAGGTGGGAGGCTGGTTTCCAGCGCTGTGAGCCCTGCCCACCCTCTCCACGGCCCCGGGGAGTCCGGGTCCAGATGGGAGTCAGCCTGGCTCTCAGAGAAGCCGTGCCTCGCAGTGTGTCCTGCCCCTGCTCCCCCAGGGGGTGCTCATGTCCAAACAGCACCAGCAGCGCCGGCCCTTCCTGTGGGAATTCCAGGACCGATGCTGAGCGCGGGGCGCCCTGGGCTGTATTTCATTTGCTTTCCCGTCTCCTGCGATCGATCGCTGGCATGTCGAGTGAGACCCGGGAGTCCCAGCCTCCTCGCTGAAGGAGGCTGGTGAGGTCGGGGTGCACACGTGTCAGGGGACGGGGGAGTGGACGGTCCGTTATCGCGGCATTTAATGCGAGTGCGGGATGAGGGCTCGGACCGTCCACCAGGACGGGGCCCTGTGCTCTTCGCTCCTTGAGCGCCATGCTTAGTGAGCCGCCAGGCCGACCGACCGACCGACTGACCGCGGCCCAGCTCGCCCCTCCCAGGTTACACTTGGAAATTGGAGAGCGCTGTCCGATGCCGTACCAGCATCACCCCCAGATGGACGAGGGCCGGGTGAGACCTCCTCGCCCACCTGAGCTGCACTCCCATCGGCCACCGTCCTGTGCACAAAGAACCTGTAAAGGGACGTGATTGGAGGGTGGACACGGGAGCCTGGGTG